GCTGAATTGCATGGCACCTTTCATGTTCTTTTCAGTATTCATAAGTCTGTAGAACGATCTAACGAAAGGACCATCACGCAATCATGGAAACGTGGTGAGGGACTCACTTTTCTCGAAGTCGGAATTTTCCTTCGATGCACTATTCCCGATACTGACCTTACGTATTGTCCAGCAAAATCACTTTTAATATGTCGATACGAAATATTTCAATGAAGCACACTTAGCAACTCTACTGCTTCCGATTTTTTTTTTTTTTTTTTCACATTGTCAGCAAAACTTAGTTTTACGCTTCAGGTCATATGTGGGCAAGCATGAGCATGTGGCCTAAAGTTCAAAGTGCTTACTTTTGCTTACTTTCAGATCAGGAGTAACCAAGTTCAAACACTGACCCCAGAAAGAAAATTTATTTTGGTTTATTTATTAGTTGTCTAGCGCACACCAGCTATGATTGAGGAGGGCTTTTTTTAGCCCATCACCATGATCAGCTACACAAGTCAGTCAATACAAGCTTCACCTTAAAAAAGCTGGTGGTTTTCCTACCTCCTCGCATCTTTGCAGACTAGTGATGTTGATTTACGAATCGTGCCTACATGTTCATAGTGGCACACTGGTCATGTGACTGTTTCCGGGTATTTATGACAAGAGTGCATTACCAGCTGTTCCTAACAATTGTTATCAGCTAACCTAAAACTCTAAACCGACTGCAGCATGGAGCCCGTAAAGCTTGATATGAGAAGCAAAAATTATGGATTACTGGTTGAAAAAAATTTACTCAAAGGTCATTGCTACAGCTTAGAAGGTGAGCTAGTCAGCTCTGGATCAAGATAAATATTTAACTGCCCAAAACAACAATGGGCAAAACTCACATGCAACCCACACATGCATGCTCCATTTGTCCATCTCTCAGCTCTGTTAAACATTTACCGCAACCAAAGGAACTGTCAGAATTTACCGCAACCAAAGGGCTTGACAGAATTTCGTCTGGTCGGGAGGCGGCATTGCAAAAAAAGACGAAGCGCCGACCACAACGAAAATCCTTTAAAAGAAAAAAAAACAACCAGTTTTTGTTTTCAAGTGTTTTTATTGTGGTCGGCGTTTCGTCTTCTTTTGCAATGTGTTCGGTGTATGCAATGTAACTGTTATTTTATAGTCTGCGACATTTTCACTACAAAACGAACATCTCAGCTAACGTCAGCTGCATTGATGGCCGATACCAAGTACACCAACCCTTTGCACACTGACACCAGTGAAACTGCCCCCAATCTCTAGTAAGTGCAAGTCATTTTTTACTTTTTACTCAGCCCTTGTGCTGGAAGAACATTATGTTGCTTAGTTGTGTAACAATTTAACGGCATGAGTTCAGCTGTAGAAATAGTCTCCTCTAGTTCAAAGTAACAGCATGTTACTGCACTATTGGACCACGCAAGGAGGATAAACAATCCCAAGCAGTGGCTACAAGCGCTACTCAATTTGTCCAGCAATACTTGGCAAGCCAGGGAAGCAACAGTTAGCTGACGAGATCTGATTCATGAGGATTTATTTCTGAGCCTACACAACAGAATGGAGCTTTTCTTCACCCTTTCTTTAAATTCCAGTTTCATAAGCTACCCGATTATCAATTTGAGCTGTACACAACATTAAAGTGCGCATACAAAGATGCTCTTGATGTACAAAATGGTACACTTGAATACAAGCAGGTTCATCACAAAAAGCCTACACGAACACACAATTCTGACATTGAAACTGGACAAAATAAAACACTTTACTGCTCATTGAAAAGAAAACAAGACCCAGAAACCAGTATAGGTTTTCAGCATAATCTCCATGCACCAACAGAGTGTGCGTATGTATGTAACGGATGAGACATGGCGTCAGTCAGAACACCAGTTTATTCTGACCCTTCCTCTCCCTCATCTTCCTTCCCCACATTCACCTGTGAAGCGTCACATGTATACAAAGCAATGGTAGCACACATAAAGAAATGAATATTTTCGATGCCATCGTTTTGGATTCGTACTCCACCAAATAATGACAATTTGGGTTTCAAGAACATCTTGATGAATGACTTTACAACATTCTATCCTGTGTAAACAAAGAGTTTCCTACAATACTTACTAGAGGGAAATCTGGTGCTAGTGTATATGAGAGCTGCAACCCATGCGGCTGCAGCCGGCATGGGAATGATGAGTAGTACACAGATTTGCCTCGTCCTCGTACATTTGACTTCATCTGGCATTGCGTAGCCTAGAGCCACTTTCTCGAAAGATGAAAATCGGCAACGGTTCAGCAGTTCCACTTCACTGCAATAGGCTTTTAGACCCATCAATTCAAATTGGTTTGCAGAGTGCACAATAAGTATGTTCCAATACTCACCGTAGACAGCTAAATAGACGGTGGCCATCTTAAGTCCCATTCCAATTCTCACGTAGCCGGAAAAATAGGCAGTTCCGAGAAGACCACATCGTAGGCAAACAGGATGCAGGCTACTTTGCTGTCTAAACAAGATGGCGGCTAAGCAAATCGCTCAGATAGATCCGAGTCTCGCTGGATTGGTCGTCTGCACACAATCAGACGGTTCTCTAGAAGCTCAATGAGAGTAACATTTAATTTTTTTAGATTTCGACATGGAATAAGCCAGAAAATGCAACTGTTACATTTGTTTATTTCAGCTTCAACGTGAGGTGGCGCCTCTTCGCATAAAAACTGTCTAGACATGTTCCAATTTTCGGACAGCAGTCAGCGTAGACTGTCTATGTTCTGTCTAAGAATCGTAACACACCCAATGATCCATTCTTTTATCCAAAATAAATGCAAAAACGCAAGAATAAACGAAGCCACAAGTTCGTTCGAAGCCACACGTACGATGTAGGCAAGTTTGCGTACTATATCATTCCCACAGTGACTGAATGATCGCAGCATCCGAGTCCCCTCTAGTTAATTTTAGGAAACTCTATGTGTGTAAACACCCTCGATAGAGCTGTCTTGTTTGTCCATAATTAAAATTAGAGCTATGCCGACCGGCACCTCTGCCTGATAGTGATAGCACAGAGTTCTTATTCTCTGCTTGCATCACCTTGCAGTCACTCCCTTTGGTTTAAAATTGTGGCTACCAAGTGAGAGGTAACGTAGCTACTACGCTGCACACACTTTTGCTCATTTACATATAACCTAGCCAACTGTTCTTGGTATTGCCATCATTAAAAACTGGTAATCAACATTTGAAGGATCTCCACCAGCTTTTTTATTCGCTTTACCAACCTTTCGTATATATCTTAGAAAATACAAAAGAAGTAAAGAAGTGTACATTTAAGGGCTCATTTTTTTTTCGTCAGAAACAATATCAGTAAGAAATAAACAATGATGCCAAGAAAGGTATAGGAGATATTAGAAACAACTGTAATGTGAATGTGAACAAAGAAAAGTGGATGAAAAGATAACCTGCCACTGGCAGAGACCGAATCTGCGGCCTTAGATCAAGTAACACGTCCGACGCTCTACCACTCAGCCACGGCAGCAATCATCCCTCTATCCACTTTATAACGTATATATGTGCATTTAAACACAGAAGTTTAAATGCACATATTTAAATGCAAACTAACAATTACAGCAAAAAAATTATAGGGAACGTAAGGAAAGTGGAAAAAAAGATAACTTGCCACCAGCAGCAAGTTGTCTTTTCGTCCACTTTTCTTTCTTCCCATTTCAATTATTCTAATAACATCCCCTATACTTTCCTTGGCATCACTGTTTCTCCATTCTTACATCCCCTATACTTTCCTTGGCATCACTGTTTCTCCATTCTTATTAAAAGATGTACAGAATATTCAGGACACTTTTTTAATTGTTTGCATGTGATTACATGTTCTATTATTCATACACATCTTGCATTTGCATTTTAAAAAAATGATAGGTTTACCTCAATCGCCATGAGTGGTAATAATAAATCGAACTTGAATCTGAAGACTTCCTGAGAGCAAATAACAAAATTTTCAAAAGGTTTTTAAACTCTGATCAGCATATCAGTAAACCAGCAGTGCTTTTCCAAGTAAATCAGTAACACTTTTAGCAAAGATCAATATCATTGACATTTGCAGCCATGCCACACCATCAACAAAGTTTTACAAACGTTATATGGTTTATATAAGAACCCGCGATATACGCAGCTTTAGAATAGAGTACACAAAGCTTAGCATTGATTAGTTTTTCGGCACCCTTGAGCATGCATCATATGCTATCCTCTTAGATACTCATGTTACGTGACGAAAATAGCGTATGTACCAAACGAATAAAAGCTTTGCATACCCTATTCTAAAGCTGCCTTAGCTAGCATCTTAATTTGAGACCAATCGCACGCTGCTGATATATTCGTCGTTTTTTTTTTTTTTCCTTCGCGTGGTCTTCTCCGTTTCTTTTTTTTTTTTTTTTGCCTCGGTGTAAAAGAAAATCCTGGTTTGATGCGACAACACGCAGACGATATGCAACTGGTTCACACTGAGATCAACAGTGTGTGAGTTGATCTCAGCAGGAAGCCCATGCTTTGCAGTACAATGTTTAAAACATTCTAGATGAAAACCGGTTGATCAACCGATCCAGAATGGAAACCAATCGCGCACTGACAGGCGCTACGGAAAGTGACCGCTGGATGAAAATTGGCAGCGATGACAGTTCATTCGCGAACAGTACACAATGCGTGCCGTGCACACGCCATCAAGCAAGGGCCCATGCACATAGCCGATACGCTGACTTGAATGTCATCCCTGCAACACACGTCGGGATCTAAACGTAGCCGCAAAAAACAATCTGCCCTAACCTCTTCTTTCAGACTAGAGGCAGGCCGGATTACACTGATCCATAGTGCGTTCACTCGACCCTACTACCCTTTAGCAGACAGGTTATACAGGCGCGCGGTAATCAACGCACCTGCGTCAACTTATCCGTTCCTCAGCGCGAATAATAAGGGGTGTTTTGACAGCGAGAAAGAGACAGCAAAGCGTGAATACCCCAGTTGGTGGGACTGTGGAGGATGCCTGCAAAATCTCGAGCACCAATGAGCGGTGGTGGGGGGAGTCGGGTGGACTGCTGTGATGCCTTTCGGTCTTCGTCAGCGGTGCTCGGCACTTCTCAGGCGCCAAGCGAGGGATCCCGAGAGGATCTTTCTCGGCGGTCCATACACGAGTCACGAGACTGCCTCTTCTTTGTCGATCCAAAGAACACCTCGATCTTCGTTCGCAAGATACCAGACCACTGTTGCAGCTGGTTCACACCGCCACCAACCACAACACCAGTGTGGCCTGCTGCACTTCGAGCTGCTGCGCCAAGAAAGAAAAAAAAATGAATAAACGTTCGTTCGTAGCTTTCTCAACCCACGCACCTTAGTGCGACAAGTTTTCTGTCCTTCCGATTGTTCTAAAACTATGCATTAAAAGGATGTCATGGTTTGTTTGCGTTCTGAAAGGGCGCACCAACTTTCCTCTCGTGTAGCAGACGACCATTGCGAAACTCTGACTTACGTCGCTGCTGGCAAACAATCATTTTTATCTCCTTCATTAACGTTCTTATGGACTCGAATAGCTTACCAAGGACATCTAGGTTTCCGCCGAATTTTATTTATTCATTTTATTTACATAATACTGCAGACCCTAATTGGATCCATACAAGAGCTAGGGCAGCCCATAAATACCTTCACTGCAAAAACCACAACGAAATAAAACAAGTTTAAAAGACCAAAAGCTAAAAAATAACAATAGCATCAGAACAAAACAAAAGTAACAATAGATAACATAATGAGCACGCATGAACATTACATAATATTCCTACACGATTGATGGTCAAGTGGCTAAGGTACTCGGCTGCTGACCCGCAGGTCGGGGGTTCAAATCCCGGCTGCGGCGGCTGCATTTCCGATGTAGGCGGAAATGTCATAGGCCCGTGTGCTCAAATTTGGGTGCACGTTAAAGAACCCCAGGTGGTCGAAATTTCCGGAGTTCTCCACTACGGCGTCTCTCATAATCACATGGTGGTTTTCGGACGTTAAACCCCACAAATCAATCAATCAATCGAAGACAGCAATAACACGTTTTAAATACTCAAGAACAGTAAAACTAAAGAACGAAGGCTTAATCAATGTGACATTGTTAATAACATTAAATAGATATACGTTCAATAGAATCGACGTTTATAATTTGCGATACCTCCTGGTTATTCCGATAGAAGGGAAACTTAAATAGGTTGAGTTCTGTTGCAGTATGGCGTTAGAGAAAAATTATGACAATGCCTTGTTCGACGTGCTGTAAGTGCATGGGGACACATAAGCCTGTGGGTTAAGGGAGAAGCAATTGTTTTTAAGTTAGAAAAGAAATTTTAACCGGTGTATTTTTCTTCGGAGTTGTAAAGTCTGAATATTGTGATGTACCATTAGGGCTGTGGGAGAGTCATATATTCTATATTTAGAGAAAATGAACCTAAATTATTGGCGTTGTATCGATCATCTCTAATGCATTAATGTTAGTTTTTGTGTAGGGGTCCCATACGATGCAAGCATATTCAAGTTTTGGTTGGATTAGTGATGTGTAAGCCAGAAGTCCAGTGTCACGAGAAGCATGTTTTATAGTTTGTGCCTGAGGATACAAATTTTCTTGAAAGAAGAGTTACAGATGTTGGAAATGTGGTTATTCCAGCTTAGGCCACTGGTTATTGTGATTCAAAGGTATTTATATTGGTTTATACTTTTGTGAGCGGTTATAATTATAAGGAAACAAGGTGCAATGCGCTTCTATGCCCAATAAAGGGCTCTATTATGTGCATCGTGCGCTGCTACTTTGATTTGTGCAGATGGCGCCACTAACGGCAAAAAAGTCATGTTTGCGGGTGGTCCGGACCAGCGTTTCTAGATATATGTTTGGTCGGGACTCAGGGTTAGCATGCCGGAGTAGAGTGACCTGGAATGCGGGGGAGTGTCCTTCCTCTGTGGGGAGTGTCCAAAGCATAGAGTTAATAGACAGACTCTTGAGAAAAAGCTCCCCATAGGGGTGTGGCAGCTTGGGCTAGTTGGTATGACATGAGGATAGTTATAGCGCGAGAACAGAACGACGACACAGAGACAAGAAGGAAACGAGTGCTAACTTTAAACTGAGTTTATTGCGCAGAGCGTGAAAATTAATTATATAGAGGAGACAGTATACCATGTGACGAAAACTATGTGTCACAAAGCGTCACTGAGTAAGAGAAAAAAAAACAAAAGCACAGAAAATGGCAAAGAAAAGTCTATAACGAAACGAAACAGAAATGTAAAAGTCCAATCAATCTAATGTTTTCGGCTTTTCAATTGACATAAAGGACCTTTACTACGCACTGCCTCATGATGAGGTATTGGAATGTATAATTGATAACATAGAAGTCTTCGGGGAATGGAACTTCCAATTAAAACTGACATCAGTGCGCAAGATTTTGTTGACTTTGTTTTGCTGTATCTTACCTCTACTTTCTTTCAATGGAATGATTGCATTTATCGGCAGAAAAAAGGTGTTTCAATGGGCTCATGCATAGCACCTCTACTCAGTGATCTACTATTGGCAAAAAAAAATGGGGCAATATACTGCAGAAAAAGTTAAAGAGCATGCATGTCGTCAAAGTGTTCAGATACGTGGATGATTTCTTGGTTTCTTCTAAATTGTAACCCTTCTATGCTCCACTCGATTGTGGCTCAAACGATGGGTGCACTTGCAAACTGTTTAGAGCCTCTTTTGTTGACACATGAAATGCCCGAGAATGACTTTAAGTTACGCTTTTTGGATTTAAGAGTTTGTTTTTTAGCTCACAGCACATTTGTTGGAGTTATAAACCACGTGCGTAGAAACCTTTACTTCCTTTCTTCTTCCGCTCACAGCAAGTTAGTTAAGCGAGGCATAACACGAACCTGTCTTGAGAATGCCTTAAATAGGTCGTGCGTTATCAACATCGCTGCGAGCTTCAAATCTCAAGTTTCCCGGCTTAGGGCTTCGGGTTTTCCTGAGGCGTTTATCGCTTCCGTTGCTCATACTATCCTGCGAACTAATAGGGCAGGTAGTGGCAGTGGTTAAAATAGGAGAAAGGCACCTAATTTCCTTTCTATTGGGGCAGAGCAGAGGCAGCGACAAGATTTGACCAACACGCGGATACAGAGCGTGAAAGGATAGCCGTGGTTCTATACGAACACCAGATATCACACAGGCTCAAGAAAATCGGAAAACGAGTGGGAAGTCGTGTCTTGTTCTCTGCACCATTCAAATTAATCAGCCTCACCAAATCTACAAACCCCCTGAAAACGCAGTCATCCATGGAATGTATAGAGTTCAGCAAAAAAAAAAAAAAAAAAACAGGTATGCGGCATGCTCCCGGGAAGTTGTCCCCCCCTTTCATGTGGTGCTTGTTATGTCGGAACGACCGGAAGTTGTCTGAACGATCGACTGAGAGAACACGCTAACAGCACTGCACTGAGTGCATCTGTGTCCCCCTATTCAAGGACACAGTGACGCTGTACAAGGACAGGGATGAGCGCACGCGAGTCATCGTCGTGGCCACGCAGATGGCACACGAATACGTGTCATGCGTAAGCAAGCCCTCCGTGCCTCTTTCCTAGACGGAACTAAGGTTCCTCGAGTGTGGCAGCTTGGGCTAGTTGGTATGGCATGACGATAGTTATAGCGCGAGAATAAACGACGACACAGAGATAAGAAGGACACGAGCGCTAACTTCCAACTGAGTTTATTGCCCAGAGTGCGAAAATATATGGAGGAGACAGTGACCATGTGACGAAAACCATATGGCACAAAGAGCAAAACATGAGTGAGGAAAAAAACAAAAAAACCAAAAGCACAGAAAAAGGCAAAGAAAAGTCTAAAAGAAAACGAAACAGAAAAAGGTTATATAACTACTTGCGCCCACCGAAGCCTGCAAGGGGTTTGTAGATTGAAACGCAGTCATCCGTTGATGACTGCGTTTTCATTCTACAAACCCCTTGAAAACGCATGCAGTCATCAACGGAATGCAGAGTTAAGTATAGAAACAGGTATGCGGCATGCTCCCGGGAAGCCCCTTTCATGCGGTGCTTGTTATGTCGGAGTGACCCGAAGGTGTCTGAACGATTGACTGAGAGAACAGTCTAACAATGTTAGAAACGGGAAAGATAGTTTCCTTGCTCAGCACTGCATTGAGTGCAACTGTGTGCCCCTTTTCAAGGACGGAGCGATGCTGTACAAGCACAAGAATGAGCGCACCCGAGTCATCGTCGAGCCCGCGCAGATGGCACGCGAACAGGTGTCTTGCATTATTAGCAAGCCCTCCGTGTCTCTGTCCGAGAAGGAACTAAGCTTGGTCCTAGAAGGTTTTGGATCGCGCAAGTAGTTATATTACCTTTAATTTTCTGTTTCGTTTTCTTATAGACGTTTTTTGCCTTTTTCTGTGCTTTTGGTTATTATTTGTTTTTCCCCTAATTCATGTTTTACTTTTTGTGCCATATGGTTTTCTTTACATGGTTACTGTCTCCTCCATATATTTTCGCGCTCTGCGCAATAAACTCAGTTGGAAGTTAGCGCTCGTGTCTTTCATGTCCTTCTGGTCTCTGTGTCGTCATTTTGTTCTCGCGCTACAACTATATCGTCGTTCCTCGAAGGTTTCGGTGCACGCAAGTAGTTATGTTACTTTTACTTTTCTGTTTCATTTCCTTAAAGTATTTTCTTTGTCTTTTTATGTGCTTTTGTTTTTTTTTCTCTTACTCATGTATTGCTCTTTGTGCCACATGGTTTTTGTCACATGGTTCACTGTCTCTTCTATATATTTTCGCGCTCTGCGCAATAAACCCATGAATTAAAACCCACAGAGTTTCCTAATATACACTAGAGGGTACTCTGGCGCTAGTGTCTATGGGAGCTGCAACGCACGGCACTTCAGCGAGCATGGGAATGACGGGTAGTACACACATATGCCTATTTTTTGTACTTCTGGCCTGCTTCTGGCTCCGCGTGTGTTCGTGTGGCTTAGAGCTGTTATTTTACGAAAAATCAATTTGCAACTGTTCAGCGTTCACGCTTCACCACCTTATTCTTCTAGACTTACCTTTCTAAATAGGGTCACGAAGTTTGAAATGGTTGCATCTTTCTTTCAAAACAAAACCGTAACCAGCAATAAAAGAAGCCGCAAGTACGATTCGCCGCCCGCAAGTACGAAGACCACGTAAATGTGTGTACTACCAGAGTCCTTCAATGCTTTGGTACTACTTAGAGATGTGCGCCAAGTAGAGGTGTGCGCCGACTGG